GCTTACATCGTTATAGGTATATATATATATATAGAGATATAGATATAGATATAGATATAGATATAGATATAGATATAGATATAGATATAGATATAGATATAGATATAGATATAGATAAAGATATAGATATAGATATAGATATAGATAAAGATAAATATATATATATGTATATAGACATAGACATAGATATATACATACATATATACATATATACATATATGCAATAAAACACATACATACATACATACATACATACATACATACATGCAGGCATACGTACAGGTATATATCAATACATATGTACATGTAAACATCTATACATGTATACATATATGGATATACACACGTAATGCATGTACGTATGTATGCATGTGTATGTATATGTGCTTGGTGAAAGTTGCGCAGCCCTTATATGTATATGTACATGTGCACGCACATGTACATGTACATGTTTGTGTGTATATAATGGAGGCATGTGTCTACGCATACACACATACATACATACATACATACATACATACATACATCCATACATACACACACTGTATATATATATATACGTGTGTGTATACATATTTACACAAACACATACACACACACGCGCACACACGCACACACACCTATCTGTCACACTATCTATCTATCTATCTATCTATCTATCTAAAGATATATGTATATGTATGTATATATTTATATATACATATGTGCACGTGTGTGGTGTATGCGTATGTACATACATACGTACATGCATACATACATATAAACACGTGAGTATACATATATAGATAGATGGATAGATAGATAGATATGTGTGTGTGTGTGTCTGTATGTCCTTGTGTGTCCTTGTGTGTCTGTGTGTGTTTGCGCGTGTAACATGTGTGTATGCATGTCAATGTCTGTCTGTATGCTTGGTTTGTATGTATGCATGTTGTGTATGTATGCATGTATGTATGTATGTATGTATGTATGTATGTATGTAAGCATACATGGATGTATGTATGTTTGTCTGCTTGGTTGTGTGATTGTTTGTGTGTGTGTTTGTTTGGTTGGTTGCTTGCTTGCTTTGTTTGTTTGTGTTTGCTTGTTTGTATGTTGGCTGGTTCGATCATTCGTTCATTTGTTTGTTGCTTGCTCTCGCCACTGGATTTCTGCCTGTCTGCCCGTCTACCCCTGTGTCTCTGTCAGTTCTTGGTGTGCGAACCCCACACCCGGCGACTAGAAGTTATTTCCACAGCTCGAAAACCGTGCAGGCCATGCTGGAAATCCAGGCGAGAAGCATGATCACAACGAAACCGATCTGCTGCTGCGCCGAAATGTGCTCACCGAACACGAGAGAGGATGTGGCCACGATGACAGAGTCCTGCTCAAGTTCGAGGAGACTGAGCTGCAAAAGCATCGCACACACATCCTCTCAACGTCAGTCCTTGACGATACCAATGATCACGAAGGCAACTGCAGAGAGCCGCTTGAGAGCTGTAGCGATAATAAGGTTGAGCGCCTGAGAAGCAACACGCAAGCTTGGCCGTGAAGGTGGGTGGGGTATGACCGGGTGCCCAGCGAATGCATTGAGGGCGTTCAGCATGATCCTTGCAAGCGGGGTCAAGTACACCATGATACCTCTCAACGTGAAGCCCCTCATTCTGTCTGAGAGTCATAGGCCAGTGTGACGAGAAGTCGGTCCAAACTACAGGTTCCCATGAAATCACAACGCTGATCCTTGGCATGGAATCTGTCAGGTTGAAAAAAAACCGAAAGCAATCGGTATCAGCAGGCTCGTCATGCGACGGCAGCCAAGAGACAACAAGGGCACCAACGAGCAAGGTGCTTGGAACATGACGAAGGTGAGCACATCCAGCCTGTGAGCAGATGTGGTCGCTTGCGTTTCGTGCCGGTGAAGACTGCCGCGACCAAGCGGCTTCATTCCGGCTCCAGTCATCACGACTTCTCCAATCAGATTCTTCGAACATTCTGCAAACTGCGAGGTGATCTGGAGCATGAAGCCTGAACTCACGAGTCGACTGGTGCATTGCAGAACCCGCCAGCACCAACGCAGGTGCTGAACATCTGTCCATGTTTCATCTCGTGTGTAGCTGGGGAGCCCATCCAAACGAAGTTGATCTCACCTTTGCTAAGCGTCTCTGCATGATACAGGCAACTGGATCCAATGCACAGAAACTTCTTGAAAAGCGGCTACACCAGATTCTGCCAGAGTTCCGTGTGCACACAATGAACATCCCATCACAACGATGCTTAGCACTGCGACCTTTGTCCAGCTGAAGGCCTGCGGAAGGGATCCGATGGATTTTCGTTTTCCACTAGGTTCCCAAGCTTGGAAACCATTCGCAAACGGCAGCGGCATGGCGCTCTTGCCCCGATCGCCTGAAGGCCGAGTACGCAGGACATGGCGAAGATCAGCGCCACATTTCCCTCCTTGCCTCAACACACTCTTCGCTGCATTCTGAGTGCTGCTACAGTGTGGATGCCGTGTATAAGCTACAAACAAAACAGCTCAAGCCAAGAGGCAGAACTGCAGAAAGGCAACCTGCTGAGCTGGCTTTGTTCGGGGCTTCGCTTTTGCTAGCTTCGAACGACAAAGCTTGTCGCTATGTCCGGCATGTCCCATATGATTATCATATGATCCAACGATCGGCAAAAACTGCTCTGTGCATCTCGGGAGCACTCGAGTAGAGGTACGCGCGGTTCGAACAGTACAAGGCCAGGGCAAACAGCATTCCCAGCGGCAGGATGTACTGCAACCTCTTTGGAAAGCGAGTGGTCTATCCCTTTCGCTTTTGGTGGTTTTCCAGGATGACGGCAGTCTCACACTCCCACCCCATCTACAGGTCTCTCTCTTCCTCTCCCAGCTGCGATTCTCGGAGCAAGCGCACACCTAATTCCCACCCACTGCAATGTAGCACCCCATGTCCCAACCGATAATGAGAACATCAGGCAAAGCCAAGGTCCCGACAGTGCCCGCCAGTTCTCACGCGCTTTTCCCATTGTTGGATAGAGGCTTGGCGCGGCAGTGTAGAGCAGCAGAGACATGACCGTGGTCATCAGCATGTGCATTGCCGTCATGGCTTTTGGATGAGGGAAGCGCTCCACATTCCTTGCTTTTCCCACATGTACGCTCAGATTTCAGGAAAACACTACAAGAACGTATCATGCACCACCATAACGAAAAAGCGTTGATCTTCTGTCCCGTGTCATCAAGTACTTGTTGAAGGCGATCAGGCTTGCACTAATCAGGATGTAGCAGCCTCCAATAATGCACGTCTCCGCGATTAGCTTCATCTCCTCCGGCTCAATCGGTAGCTGGCATTTATTGAGATTTTCTGTGCAGCGTGTCCTTCATGCCAAGCATGCTTGGCGGAAAGCTTCGCTGTCGTATGGATGGTACGGGCACTTCGTTGAATCAGGACATCTGGCCAAAATGGCTGCCAAGATGCATCTGCACTGCCCATGCAACCAATATCAAAGTAGGGCCACTTTCCTAGACCCTCAGCCCCGCACGCGGCCAGCAGCCATGTTATTGCCGGCATGCGGATGGTTCGGCTGAGCAGGCCCATAGTGCCACTTGAATGTCCAATTGCCACAACCCACCTCCTAGTTTCTGTGCCGACTTCCAAAAAATGAGGTTGAATTCTCTGACTTGAGCAAGGAAGCTGAACGGCCAGCACAAGGCACGCAAGAGGAGTGGCGCACACATCGGTGAAGCTCAACGTGGCCGGCAATCCTTGTCTGTTTTCCACAGAATCAAGACACGTCTCTTGGCTTAGTTGAAACTGGCACTCAGCAAGCATGCTGGGCGCAGCTGGATCTTTCATTTACATGATAAAGGTCACAGTGGGCATCTAAGCCAGCAAACAGCATCCGGGATGCCGGTCCACTTTGGATGGAAACAATCAGGTGTTGTCTTCCAGCCCGGCTCGGGAGCTCGATTCTCTTCTGACCAAGCGCTGCAATTAGCATCAACTCCTAGCCTAGCCGCCGCGATAGGAACTTCAGCTCCCCTGCGCCAAGATCGGCCCGGCCTGATCAGAAGCAAGCCTGCCAGTCAACCAGAAGCTTGTGCCTTTAGCAGGTCTCAGTCGCGAGCGACTTCCACGCTGAACGTGAAGCTGCCTCAGCGAACCGACTAAGCACAGGACCTGCCTGGCGACTCAGGAGAAACCATGAGAGGGTGGGCAGGGAGCCTCAGACCAAGCCTCCAACCAGATCCAGATGCCATGTATTCCCAGTCGTGCTTCAGGAAGGCCCAGGACTGAGTGCAGAGGACGAGAAGCGCTGCAGCCCCAAGAACTAGGGCACTAGGCAGACCAAGGCCGGCACGACGACTGCCCCCAGCAGGCACATCACCTTCAACCAGTCGCAGGATGGCCAAGGCCGGTCGCCGACCAGCATGCCAGCATCGCCCGTCTAAGCGAAACGCGGCTTGGAGCCAGAGCACTCCCGTGATGCCGCAAGGGCCTGTTTAGAGACGAACGCAGCACTACAGCGAGGTTGTCTTCGTTTGTCTTGCTCTGCATCTGCCACATGTGCAGTGCCATTAGGCCGATCCTGTGCTGATGGGCGGGAAGATCAAAGCGCCGGCCTCAGGGTGATCTGAGGATCCATGCCCGGCACACGTGCCCTACCGCCCGGCTTGGCACCGCACAACAGCACCAACCTTGCCACCTGCACTGGATAAGCCGTGGCCTTCAGAACAGCCCAATGCGGCCGCAGACATGATTGGGCCGCAGCTAAATGGCGAAGGCATGCGAAGTAAGTGTCTATCATGTGCTCCGGATAACCGTGGGGAAGCAGATAACTGGGAGAACCTCAGGTGGTGCAAGCTTTGCGGTTTCTAAGCAACGTGAGCGAGGCAGCAAGGCCGCGAGGCTCTGACGTAGGTGCCAAGGTTAGGACCCCAACTGAGCAGAAAAGTCAGAAGGCAAAAGAGCACCTTCGCATCTCGCAGCTTCGCCTTTTGAAAATAATCCAATCCATGGCCGTTCACATGCTGAGGAGCGGGCGAAGTGCAGAAAATGCCTCGGAAGGCTCAGCCCACCGAATCAGTTTTCGGATAGGCTCGCAACTGCATTGCCTTCACGAGCTGAGCGAGCTACAGCTGCGGTGCCAGCATCCAGGCCAAAGCCAGCGCGGCGAAAGACGCTGCGAGAGCCTTAGGAAACGAGAATCCTGGAAGCTGGAGCAACTTTGCAAACAAAATGTGGCTGAGAGTCCAGGAAGCCGTAGGCATTCAGACGTTTGCAACCCATCCTAGCTCGATATGGACATGCTAGCTGCTTGTACTGTACCTGTGCCTGGAAATGTCAGTGTCGGATGGGCAAGCCAGATTTGGTGGCTCCAAGGTGTCCTGTCGATCATCATCATCGCAGCATAGCAGCCTGGGATGCCTTGCATGGGTGTCACCATGCACTGTCTTTCGTGGCGGCGTCTGTACTGCAAGTCAAAAGTCTTCTCAGGAGGATGCCCATCGCTGTTATGATGGCGGACTGTAGCGAGATCTGCTGCAGCGACTGCTGACCTTCGATCCAGAATCCTTCGAAACTTGCAGCTCCGGTCTGCTTCCTTGAGTCAGGTGGCAGCGCCCATCCACCATGGAACCTGTGAGACACATTCGCTCGAGGATGGTCGGCCTCGGACTCTTTGAGTGACCCGGATTGTGCCACCGAACCCAAGCGGAGCCCCCGGCGCGAAGATCGTTGTGCCGTAGAAGGCAGTATCATAGAAAACTGGGCTCTCAGAAATACTCAAGGCTGTGGACCACCACGAATATCTGGCTGCACAAGCATTCATCTGCTTCTACGGATGTCAGATTACGTGGGCCATATGCTGCCAGGCTGCACCAGGAACCGGCAGTGCCTAGAAACTGACATCATGTAGAGACGCTGGAAAAGTTCGCACAAACAATACAAAGCTTGGCAACAGTTGGCCGGTAAACTGTTGGGTGGGGTGCTCACGACTGCCATCGAAACCGCTTCAAGTCGAAACCCCAAAACCTGAACACCTCATCAATACCTTGGTGTCGCTACAAGCTGCCGCGACTTCCACAGTTGCAAGCATGACCAATGCAGTGGTTTGAGGATACATGCATGCGAAGTGTTCGATGCATTTCTGCATTGACTGAATTTCTGCAACAAACCTTACCTCCCTCCCCCGCCGCCTAGCAGCGTGGAGGCGACGCCTGCATGGCGCAGCCGCAGGCTGCCCCGGGCTTGCGCTACTTGTGCTTCCGTGAACTCCTCCGAGTCCTGACAATTCGGATGTCTCTGGCTTTTGCATTCTGGCTTGTCCTTTATGAAGATCTAGACGCACAAGACAAGACAAGACAGCTGCTCGGAAACCCTGTGCACCTGCTCGTTGAAGGAGGACACCAAAACCACAAGAGCGGGAACCTGAAGAACGCAACGAGGATTCACGGCAGATACGAGTAGCGGCTATGCAAGAACGAGATGAATGCTCGAAGCACGGCTGCTTTCAGTTTTTGGCCAATGCGCATCTCGTCTCGTCAGCAGCTGTTGGTTCATGTCACGTCGGGACGGGAGGTGCGCAGTCACAATGATGCTACCACTTGGCGGAGGCCGTGCCGCGTCTCAGACACGGCACGAACAGTGCGATGAATATCTGCTCGAGCTTGGAGGTCCAAAGCTTCCACGAGTTTCTCACTGCCACCCACCAAAGGCACACGGCCCTCGCAACGGCAGCACAACCTCGGCGTCCAACGACTGGCTGCTACCGTAGTCCCCTAGAACTCGCTGCCGGCCACTTGGAGCCCAGCAAACCAAGCCAACGATCCCCAGCCTGAGGCTCCGAGGGCTCGATGCTCAAAGCTCGCCATGCTACATCTTTGGCCCTTCCGTACTTGCAACCTTGGGACATTGGCCCATGTTGTCCTGAAGCCGGGTTTGCTGCGCCTGACTAAGCATCTACAATAGGAAACAGGACACTTCCCCCTTGTCTTCTCTCTTTCTTTCACCAGGGTTGAAGGACGGCAAGCCCCCCCCCCCCCTCACGCTCCGGGCGCCCCCCCACATGTTGTAGAGGCGTGTCTCACCCCCTAGGCGAATTTGCCCGGCTATACGGCCACCCTACAACTGCTGAGGAAAAACAGCCATCAAAGTGTAATCCACCCAACTATTTGTGCAAGTACGCACTCTGCAGGGCTCAGCCGATGGCAAAGTAGACATCGAGCTAAACACTCTGCACACTCTACAGACTTACAGTCAGCACGCACAAGACCTCACTTTTGGCAGGACACTGGCAGGCGGCGGTCAGGTTAGGTCTCTTCCGCCTAGTAAACAGAGCACTTGCGGAAGGCCTTACCTGCCACCCCACCAGTTTGGGAGGAGGGCGGGTGTTTTGAAAAGCAGGGAAGCTCGTTGCGTAGGCTCAAGCTCGAGCACGCAAACTGCGGATGCGCACAGAGTTCCTGCTCGAACATGTCACTGCGTACACTTCGTGCACTACGCGACTACAGGCCACTGAGGGACATTGCAAACGCAACCTCATACGAGTTGTACTAAATCGGATTCTACAACATAAAAACATCTCAGAGTCCCCTGGCTAACACTTCCCCAACCTTTCGCTTTCTCCCTCTCTCTCTATATGTCTCTCTCCCTCAGCAGGCCTCCCAAATCCAAGGTTGGTTTAGTGGAGCCTGGCCTCACGTGGCCATGCCTTCACATGGTATCGCAGCTGAGCACAGGTTGCTTGAGACACTATGTTGGATCCGATGGCACAACACAAGCATGGGCCTCTTGCTGTGGTGCGTAGTGTGATGGTGCGCGGATCGGCCATGTGCCTAGAAGCACATGGCTGAATTCCTATTTGCGAAAGAGCAGGTGCAGGCCATGCTTGCCCCACACGACGGCTTCCAGCACTGCGGCAGGTCTGTGTAAGGCAGACTTCCCACCTATATATATATATATATATATAGTCGAGCCCAGTGGCTCGATGCTTGCGATGCCGCCGCTGATGAGACCTCCAGAAACGACCAGCGCTTGCTCAACGCGAGTCTGCCAGGGAGCAGATTCGCTGCATCGGGGCCTCGTCCTTTGCAGCAGCGACCTTTTTGGTGTCGCCTTGATCACTGGTCTGCCGTGCAGATGGGCTGCATGCCCAGTTTTTGCAACTTGCCGGCTGGCCAAGTGGTGTCCTCGGCGCAGAACCGTAGATGTTGCGCTGCATACTTACTCCCCAGTCTGGCTTTCAGCTGAATGTTGGGGCCAGGTCTCGCGCAGCATCACCTATGGCTGGACGGGTGCAAGAACAACTGCTGAATAGCACTGGAACCAGAAGAAGGGTGCCACCTCAGGGTTGAGCAGAAAGGCAGCTACATGACACCACTGCGCATCTTCGGAACCAGCTGGTAATGTCTGCACCAACTTCAGACCAGGAGCTGCTCCAGGTCCAGAAAAGCATAGGCAGCAAAGTCCCCCCCCCAATCTTTCCAGCGCTCTTAGCCGCCTCTTAGTCCACGATTCCTGTCAAGCGGGACCTGGCCACTGACAGGAGAATATGGAGGCCTGAAGCCGAAACATCTGCAGGGTCAGCTAAATTGCAGCAACTGCAACTTCCGTGCGGCGCGTAAAAGAAGTTCCAGCTTAGGCACGGGCTGCCCCAAGTGCAAACAGCAGTCGAAATTGTAGCTGGGGAACCTGAGTTGCCGACTGTCTTGCTGCCCCTGCAACAGTGTACAGCACAGTATGCACAGCGGCGCTTCTGGATCTATCAACCGGGGATGCCGCCCATTCAGCGGGAGTGGAAGGCTGAAACAGCGCTAGCAGGAGCATCGCCACCAACTCAGCTTATGAAATCTCTCAACAAAAGCAACCTGGGACATGCTCGTGGCAGATCTGAGCCCAGGGCGTATGGAGCAAGCTGGCCAAATTGCTGCAGGAAAAAAGCCTGCCGGGACAGAAACACGAGGCCCCGAATCGACAAGAGTTCCACACCTGAGAACAGGCTGGTGACAGGCCTGGCCCACATGCTTTCCTCGCGAAAGCGATTCCTGTCGGTGCCGGGGCATCATCAAACCACAAGACGGTGACTCCGTCGAGATCCAGCCTCACAGCCCTCAGCAGAGCTCACTGCAGAGAGGGGATAGGTTCCACCTTCTCACGACTTGCAGGCAGCTCCGACAGTGTCGAAGGACGGACGTCTACTCAAAGACGTTCGGTGCCTACACCAATTCCCAGGACCATCCGGCCAATGCACACGACTGCATACCTGCAATGGACAAGGGTAGAATCCATGAGAACAAGAACGCCATGGCGGTCAGCAGAGCGCACGTAGTGTCGCTACCCCCGAAGGCACATGCTGGGATCAATGAGCCAAGCACAGTGAACGCCAGGGTCACCTCGGCATCGCTGAGCACTGGTATTGCAAGCAGCCAAAAAACAGCAGCCTCATGATGACGCATGACACTACCTTGCGGTAGGTAAACCTGTCGCTTGTGACAGCTTTTGGTTGCTGCATGCAGACACATGCAAGGTTGGGCGTCTAAGCATATGCTTCTTCACAGCAGGGGCATTTTTGACACTCTTGCTCGGGGGGCAACAACTTCTGAATCAGATCCTTCCGCGCACAAGGACAAAGCTCGACACCCCGTCGACACAGCTATCACAGGAGAATACGATAGATACCGGTGCGAGGCACATGTACATTGCATGTTTGGAGTCTGTAAACACAAACTTGTTGGGCGTTTGCTGCAGTGGGGGAATCACGGACATGTGCAGACGGCAGCGAAAGCCAACACTCGGCACTGTACAGGCCACATACAAAGATATACTGCGAAGTCGAAGCAACCCAAACTGCAAGTCCACTGCACCTGCATCGCACGAGCTCTGCCCACCATGTCGCCAAGGCCTGCGCTTCATTGTCGCATCGAGTTGCATCCTTCCTGCTTCAGTCCCTGCTCGAGTACGGCACGTCCCATGACCAACATTCCGACCATTGCCCCGAGGAACACCGTTGCCAAAGTCAGGTTCTCAGCTCCAATCTCGCAAAAAGTCACTAGGAAAGAACCGCCGCTGTTTCGTAGGATCCCAGACATCAGCCCACTTTGGCTCCTGAGATTCAAAGGCTGAAAAAAGCTCTCAGCGATGCAGGCTGGCTCCTCGCGGAGAGCATGGCCAAGGTATCCTGCATCAAAGATCCCCAGTTCGATCTTCCCCGTGCAGCTTTTACACGCAATCCGAAACAAGCTGCGTGCATCAGAAAGGGTTCTAAATGGTTCTAATGCTCGAACACGGCGTTTCTTAATCGTTGCAGGAGGAAGCCAAACAGACGACAGGCTGAGGTTGTTCATCCCTTCGCGCCTGGGTCACTGAGGATGTGAACAGCGATTGATGCTGAAGTGAAGTTGTACTGAACCTAAACGATCAACTGCTGGCATGCGATGAAACTTCTCATTCACTCCCAGACAAAGCCGTCTCAGGAGGGGTCACTGAAGTTGCCAACCTTGTCACAGCGGAGTGCCATGGAGCCAGCCAGCCAGTAACTACGATGGAAGCTACGTGCGTCAACGCTTGGACCGCCGCCATGGGCACGAAGTTGCTGGCCGACCGACGGGCCTTCGCATTGTGGCGCACCGTCTTTTTTCGGCATCCACAATCCCCCCAACGCCATAGTGCGGCGTGATAGCGTGAAGCACCCCTCATATCTATATACTGTAGACCACAGCCGCACATGCCCCGGCTGCCTGCGAACCCTGCGCGCGTGGAGACATGGCTCGCAAAATGGCACGTGCAGCAGCAAAGCTTTGCAGCTCGACACCCTCTCTCAAACCAACGGCGACGCGGCAACAAAGCTGTCCTGCAAAGTTTGTGTCCCGGGTGTGCTGAGCAATTCAAATCCGAAGCTTGAGGTGAATTCCCTTCGCTGATGGGACGACTGCGGTGGAAGTGAACCCTAGACATCGTGCCGACAGTCATGCTAATCTGCTAACGCTTGATCCGGCAGTATAAGCAGAAGATCTGCATAGCCATGGTGGCATTCAGGCACTTGAACAGACTCAAACAACCACACAAACAAACAAACAAACAAACAAACAAACAAATAAAAAACAAGCAAGCAGGCAAACAAACAAGCAAGCAGGAAACAAGCAAGCAAGGAAGCAAGCAAGCAAGCAAGCAAGCAAGCAAGCAAGCAAGCAAGCAAGCACACAAACATGCACACAAGAAAACAAAAAACACCCCGGAAGGAACTGACGAACGAACAAATAAAGAAATAACCAGCTTGCCCACCGACCACCTACCTACCCAACTCTCCTGACACAGTCGCACCCACAAAGAGCCGCTGAAGCTTGATGCATGCTTCCACATCGTCTAACCTACCGTTTTGCTTCCCAGTTGGCCTGCGGCAAATCAAAACCTTGGCACCTATGCTGCTTGTTGAAGCTCGAGGACTGATGGTGGCATAGCACCAAGCACTTGTGACTTCAGCCCCCAAGATCAAACCTCTTCGCGGGTCATGCGCATCCGCAGTTGGAACGCGCATGCAGCGGAGCTATACAGAACTTGCAGGTTACTGTAGGTTCCTCAAAGGCTAACGCTGACCTCCAAGATCCTGTCCGGCAGTCACAAGCTGTCCGACTAGTGTGGCGTATGGACTTAACTTGCCCCAACAGAATGTGCAATCGGCCCTTGCGCTCATCGGTGCCTCGGATTGTTGACGTACATCGGGAAATTTTCTGGGAAGGGCCGCGAGGAGGAGGCAGCGTTGTAGGCATCACACTCATCGGCCATTACCCGTAATTCCTCTTGGAACCTGAGTACAAATCAGGGGCTGTCTGAGACTGTTCCTCCTGGCTCCTGAAGCTTCAGCAAGTCACTTCTGGAAGGCGGCAGCTGGACTTTTGCCAGAATTCGCAGGTGGAGTTGGGAACAGATGCGTCCAGTCATCGTCCAAGAGCCTCTGCTGTTTGAATGCAGCTCAACGTGTTGTTCCAGCCCGGGAGCTGTTCGTGGATTTCAACACTTCACCAGGGCAAATGCTATCGACCAAGATATATTCATCCGTAGCTCTTAATCCTCCTTTGCACATGACAATCTGGAAACTTTTGCACGGAGTCGCCCTCAACCTTGCGAAGAGTATCGAGCAACAAAGACCACCAACAAACCAGCTGTTAGGCCAGCACGCACGCTGGTGTGGGGAGCATGCACGAACAGCTGAGCTGCCCCTCTACAGCAATGAGGGATGTTGTTTCGGTGTCTGTTTTTACTGTCGTCTTCTTCAGAGAGAGAAAGAGCGAGAGGAAAAAATGAAACAGACGCTCGTTTCAGAGCATTCACCCCTTTGGGAAAGAATAGCTTGCATGCCCTCCGTTTGGCGGTCGGTGCAGTCTTGCGTGTCGTTGGCGGGGCTTTCGATCGGCTCCTTTAGCCACACCCCAGCTGCGCTCTTTGTTTGCCTTGTCTGTGTTCCGACTAGTTCTTTGTCCTCCTCGTGATCCTTGGCTGTTGGATGGACGAGCTAGGTCCCCTCTTGCAGGAGCTATGCTTTTCCCCACCAAGTCAGTAATCTCCATCACCGCCGAGGTCAACCCTTCAGGTCCGGGAAACGCCCAGTTTTGGGAACCGTGAGCTCCACCCTCACCAGCAATTGAGCCAAAAGGGCTCTGTCTTGCTTCCTTTCCGCAGGTCTAAGTCTGAGGGATCTCCCTATCGTTTTCTCTTGCTTGCTGCAGGTTTAAGAATTTTTGTTTGTCTTTCTTTCTTTCCACAGGGTTGTGTTGCAGGGGGAGACCCCCTACACCGCGCGCAGGTGCGCCCCCGCCATTTGCGGGTGCCAATAG